ATCCGTTAAATTGTCACCTGAGGATGGGATCACTTGACACTGCGATTTTCCAACGAACGATCTCACAACGAGCGATAAGCGACCTTAGTGCGAGCGAAAAGAACAAAGCGCTAATGCAAAGTATAAAGGAAAAAATTTTTTTTGTAATTTTATCCACTGACGATGGCTCAATGCGGAGCCGAAATGTTTGGGTGATAATTATTTGTTGTTAAATATACGTAATTTCAGTACTAACTTCGTGCAAGGCTCACTAGCCCTTCGTTTGATACTCCTTAATTTTTAATTACATGAGCCAGAGTGATATATTATATTTTTGAATAATTAAAGTTTATTTTCAATTAAAGACTGCATTATTTGAGTTTTATTTTTTAATTGTATTACAGTTTTATAAATATATGTATCATTTAGCTATTTTTTTTAAATTAAAGACAAAACCATTTGGATTTTATTTTTTAATTTGGTACAATAATTTTTTGTTAAAAAAGTATGCTTATACTTGATATCTTTTTTTACCTTTTTTTAAAAGGTAATTTTTTAATGGTATTACGCATTTTGTAGTGTTAAACATATTATTTTTGTTTAAAAAGCCGACCTATACTTAACTCACCTTTTATACTTCATCTTATCTTTCAAATATAACATGTATTTTGAATATTATTTTATTATTTATGAAAATTTCAAAACGTAAATTTCTCAAATTATTAGTACATTGTATTAATTTTATTAACTTTTAATAAATTATTATTATCTCACTCATACTTACAGTTTTAATTCTATAATTTGGATCTCTTGTTGTATACACAGCAAAGATTCATTGATTTGGTATAAGTATTACCGTACAGCTTGATTTCTAAACTCCATGACTTGTAAGCCGAAAAATTCGAATATGCATATATGTAAATGAGATCACCTATGCGCTGACAAGCGTAACTCAAATTTAGCCATTATAATTTCAAGCTCATTATAGTTTAGATCTCTGTAAAGACAAAGTGGTTTGTTAGAGTGAAACACAATAGTTAGAACTAAGAAATAAGAATACTTACTCGTTCATGTAAGATATTATATTTGATATTTGATTTTGAATGTCGTGAGCATTTATATGCATGATATTTAGGTGTCCTTTTATCAAAGGAGGAAGATTCCTTTGTCTGCAAAAATTCGTTATAAATTTAATGGTTAATAATTATTTTACTCGCGTAAAAATAGACTATTATTATCTTACTCATACTTACAGTTTTAATTCTATAATTTGGATGTCTTGTTGTATGCATAGCAAAGATTCATTGATTTGGTATAAGTACTCCTGTACACCTTGATTTCTAGACTCCATGACCTGTAAGCCAAAAAATTCGAATATGTATAAAAGTCTATGTAAAAGAGATCGCCCATGCGCTGACAAGCGTAACTCAAATTCAGCCATTATAATTTCAAGCTCATTATAGTTTAGATCTCTGTAAAGAAAAAGTGTTGTTATAGTGAAACACAATGGTTAGAACGAAGAAGTAAGAATACTTATTCGTTCATGTAAGATATTATATTTGATATTCGATTTTGAATGTCGTGAGCATTTATATGCATGATATTTAGGTGTCCTTTTATCGAAGGAGGAAGATTTCTTTGTCAGTAAAAATCCGTTAAAAATTCAATGGTTAATAATTACTTTACTCGCGTAAAAATAAACTATTATTATCTCACTCATACTTACAGTTTT